GTGAAAACACACACACATGAAAACAGGCAGATGAAGCCTTGACTTAGTGTGTGTGTTTACATGGGTGTGCTACAAAAAACATGGAATTAAGCATGCGACTCTTTTGTAGATGTATTAGGGAGTGGCTGAACGAGTGAAGCAGTGATAGTAGCGGAGAAACAGAGACCATCCCTGGTTATTTGCATAAGGAGAGCTATGAAAGGGGAAACAAAAACGTGTTGTATAACATTCAAGAATTCCAGACGTGATCTAATGACTAAAAAAGAAGGGGGCCAGCAGGATTAAGAGATTTGCCATGTTTCCCCCCTACCTGCCTCTCCCTTCTTCCATGTCCCCTAAGGAACATCTCCACAGCCATCTCTTGTGGAATAGGGCAGACAGGACAGCGCTAGCCCCTGCTTCCTGTGCTGCAGGCTGCAGCTCTCTCAGTTCCCTGCTCAGGAGAACACATTAGTCCACAATTTGTTTGATAGCCTGGACACATGAGGGGGGGTCTGTTTAATGCATGAGTTAGAGGAAACACATTACTGTAGTGTCGCTGAAGGAGGAGACCATTGCAAAAGACCACATGGAAATAAAAGAGATAAAGTAGATGATGTTGGAATGCAATGATTATAAGTAACAAATGGGCTTGTAGCCAAAAATGATATATTCTCTTAACTTTTGTTCCATTTATTTTTAATTGATTTTCTAAACTGTTCCACTGCAACTGTCTAAAAGAATGACAGTAACTATGCTGTCACTCATTTAATTTGGACTGTGTTGCTTTTTTTGAAGCTAGATGCTACCTAATATTGATGAAAGTGTAGTGTTCTAATTTACCAGCTAATACTGGCAAGCTTGGATAGCAACCTGTATCCATAAACTGTATGGGTACAATGAAAAACTTTTAAAAAAACTGTCCACAGGGGGTAAAATAATGCACCAAGCAGCGGTCCCCAAACCCTGGGCCTTGGACCGGTACCGGTCCGTGAGTCGTTTGGTACCGGGCCGTGAGAGTTGAGGCTCAGGTGTGAAATGTATCGTTTTCTAGATTTTTATCGGTTTTTAGCGTTATTTTGTTATCGTTTTTATCGTTAACCCGGTTTTCCTGGGTCTTTTCACGTGTGTTATGAATAAATCTTCTTTTTACACTACGGATACTAGTTTTATTTTGTTGTATTTATCCGCGACACCTTAAAGGCCGGTTCGTGAAAATATTGTCGGGCATGAACCGGTCCGTGGCGCGAAAAAGGTTGGGGACCGCTGATGTAAGGCTTGGCACTTTAACATGTGAGTCTGTGGAGATTGACTCAGTTTTGGAGCATGCCTCAAGTGCCAGCTGGAGGAACTGCACCTGTGGAACTTCCACGATTCATAAATTTTCAGATCTGGATGTTGCCCCTTGGAAAAAAACATAGTCATCCTGTTTTAAAGCATTTTAGCTGTTCATGAAACAGTCAAACATTTAATAGAAAAATATTGAAAAACATAAAATGACGTTCTTTTCTGCCAGTGGTCCAATATAAGTCAACAGGGCCAGTGCTGGCTGGTAACAAAACCAGTGTAACAGTTCATTCATACAATAATCTTTGCATGATCACCACTGAACTTGTTTATAATGTTATATATGATGACTTCAAAGCAGGCTTTTGTTCCTAAATGGCCTCCACCTCCACACAAACAGCCAGTAGTTGCATAAAGCATTCATAATTTTTAAAAAAACAGGCGCTGTGGCAAAGCGGGGGGGAAATTGCGAGCTTATAGGGATTTCATTTGTACCTTTATGCAACTGCCAGTGTCGCCGAGGGGCAGGTGGGACGGATGGTGATGTGATTCTACTGCTGTTAATGTTGAGTTCTCATATGGCGTCCATACTGGTGGACACAGCAGTGCTGTGCATGCCAGACACGAGCGCTGTGAAGCATTCAGAGCAGGCTGCTTCACTGTTACTGTATTTTAAAAAGAAGCATGAATGGCAAATGAATGCCAAATCTGATTGCCAAATGTGGGGTTCATTTCACGAATTTTGCAAACACATTAGCTTGTTTATTATATCATATCAGTATGTTGGCTCCAATACATGAAGCTCACCTGCATTGTTTGCTGCTACGCACTGTTATAAACCACATGCACAAAAGCAAAACTATGTGAGGCAGTGAGGAGCCCTGAGGAGTCCTGGACAGGCTGTTATCTCATCCAGGGAGATAGGAAGTATGGACAGGAAATCTAGAGGGAGGGGGAGGAGAGGGCCCATATGGGAAGTGCAGTGTAAACAGTCTCAGCTTTTAATCATCCCAGCTCACGTTCAGAACTGGACACACTTTGATGTTCTCCCTCAGTACCCTCTCCACCCTCCCCTCCTTAGTTCCCAAACGGCTGCGCTGAGGGCCAGCCGAGGGGCGGGTGTGCAGATAGTGGCCTGGGACGCTTTAGAGAGACGGGGAGGCATTCACTACCTTGTAGGACACTGAGACGAAAAAATGTGAAGTGTTGCACAGTTACCCAGTGTCAAGCCTTAATTATAGCTTACGTATTTGAGGGAGCTCTCAAAGTTCACTTCAACATTTAAAAAACAACAATGCAGAAAAGGAATAAAAGAAAGTCAAGATGACTTTAAGTTAACATAGGTGGAGTTTTAAGGATACCTTAATTGGGCCTGTTAAAAGAACACAGTTTATCTCCATTTCTCAAAAAGAAGTTCCAACAACAATCCTCAAGTTCATCATTGTTTCAGAAGCTTTTGGGCTTCTCCTTTAATCACAGAGTTTCATTTTGGAAGGGAGAGGGAGTCAAAATTCCTCAGCACTTGTATTTGTCCAAATAGTGCTGGCCAGACCCCAGCCAGTGTTCCAGTGAGCGTGTTCATTCAGAGGAAAGGGCACACTTCCAGGGAGATCACAGTTTAACAGATCAGACGGAGACAAGTACCACAGTGAAATCTCATGGCTTCAGAACTTTGTCCCACACATGGTAGCAAACATGATCAAAGCAAGGATGCAATGCAATTCCCAGGCTCAGGGAAGCAACGTATCGATAAAGATGAACAAGCATCTAAAATGACAAAAGATGAAAACTCTGTCAGTCCATAAAAATTTTCAGAAAAGTGGAATTAGGCTTTATAAAAGACATGGATCAACAAGGTTGGCTTATATTTAACACAGAGACGAGAATGCTATGCAAGATGGAAACTGGAACTTTTTAGCCATCAGTCCCCTCGTCCACTGGAAGACAAGAACATAAAGTGGGACCATGAAGCTGCCTGCAGAGGTAACAGAGACCTGTTACAACAGGCCTGAGGTGCAACAAAGAGCATCCTGCAGCATAACACCACCTCTGTGCAGTATGAGAACAGCCAGGGAGGAGAGAGCCTCGCAGGACCATGCCCTCCCAGCCTTGGACAGCAACACAAGTGGTGGTTTGACCCAAGGAAAACAGAGTAGATGTATAACCTATTTGGGCAGCCGAAAAAAAAGAAAAACAGAAAGAAACAGGGGGGGAAAAGCAGGGATCTTATCAGCACAAAATTAGGCTGTCGCCATGCTGACGGTGGCAGAGATAAAAAAGAATGGTTTGAGGGTGGCACTCAACCTTTCATCCACACCTTTAGGGGAATACACAGCTTCATCAAAACCCCGTGTCGCCCTGCAAACATTGCAAAGTCTTAAACAACAACAACAACAAAAATCTGGAAATCCCAGAAAGCTGGAAGTGCTTTGATCTCAACAGCTATGTGATACGCATCCGCAACATGTTGTCAACATCCCACACAGACAGGGTCCAGTCAGATCAGCTTAAAACCGGAGTGGGAAAACAGAAGTGGCTTTTCACTGTGACTAATGCTGGGCTTTTCTCCATCAGAGCATTATAAATCCTTATCAACTATGGCAAACTGCAGCATCTGGCTCACCATTCACAAAACCTCCCACACCTGGTGAGTGAAGAGAGACAAGATCCCACAGAACCTAATATCTTTCGTCCCGTTTCTCTGGAGACGGCAAATAAATCGACACGGCCGAGCTTTACAGCGCAGGGACCTTAATCCACTCTTGAATCCTAAATATGCACAATGAATAGAGAGCATACTTCACATTTGCACAGTTAAAGGCAAGATTTTTAACCTAAAAAAAAACAAACATTAAATGACAGGTTTTATATTGGTCTCGACATGCTCTCATTTTGCAGTCACTGGCCACACCTTGATATTAAATATAATGGGAGAAAGCATCAAATGCCAAAAATAGTCACTGCAAAACAAAACAGTTACCTTAGAAAAGATACACGTTAGAGAGGCTGGCGGACTGAGCCAAACCACTGTTTCTCAGGAGAGAGCTAAAATAGACTGAAAATAAGCTAACCTCAATAACACGTTTGTCATCACTGTTGTTAAAGGAATTCATATGTTCTATCATCACAAGCCCAGTGTTGAGTGGAAAGAGTGCTGCTGTAAGCAGCTCTCAGAAAGGCACACTGTGCTGTAACCCATAGTCTCTGCTGCAGGAGTCTGATGGCAGTGGATGCTGTGTAAACTGTAGGGAAACATAAGTCACTCTACAGAGGGATTGGTGCACTGAAAGAGGTGGGAGTGTAAAATAACTTTCCAATTAAGGCTTTTAACACAGACTAAGTTATTAGTCAAGCGGTGATTGCAAAAGAGGTTAAAGTGACTCTCTTGAGGGGGGTCCAAAGAATAACACTTGCTGTGTTAAGTGTTCCCAGTAGTGTACTATAGGAGAAGTTTTCAGGCTGGTAATCCATATCGGACAGAGCAGAAGTGTAAATACATGTGTTGTAAAGCTGTCCTATCAATACACAAAATGAAGATCAGACATTGACAATATGAGCATTGAGTTATTGATCCAACAGCTATAAAGCTGCTATTCACTGAGCTGAGTAGTCTATGGAAAATTGTTGCACCAGGTGCCACAAAGGTGCTGGGCCACCTGTGCACCAGGTGAGCTTTGAGGTAAATGGACAGTGATGTGGTCATGTAGTGCAGGTACCCTTTGATGACACCCTACCTGCATGAGTTTTCCCTCTGCTTTGCCGGCACTTCCTCCCACGAACACCCCTTCCAAGGTGAGGGGTTTCCCCGTGGGCTCGTGCTTCAGCAGCGTCACCTTGATAATCGCTCGGAGAACCGGCCGCTCGGACTCCAGGCCCTGCTGGCCCAGCACTACCTGCAGGGCCGCCATGAGCAGCCACGGCCAGAGCCCGGCCGGGCGCCGCTGTGGGACGGTCATGGCCTCGGCTGTAGCGGCGGGTCCCGGCCGCACATCTTGGACTTCAAAGCAGGCAAGCACCGCGGATAAACAAGACGCAGGAAAGCGGTATCGACAAGTACACGCACAGGTCCCGCTTTATTCCTTCTGCCTACTTGCTTAACAGATCTGGGCTTTCAAAGCCGGAGGACTTCCATGGTAACTCATAAAACTTCCATTCAACACTAGAGTTAATTCCCAGTCTAACACGTTACAGATATTTATATGTCTCACGTGAAAAGTGATGTCTCACACGAGGAAAAAGCTCCGATTAACTGTTATCCAGTGTCATTAATGTGGGTTGAGAAGCACTGCATGCGCCAGTGCACTGTGAAGACGAGCCGTGCAGTATTAGATCTTAAAGAGTGCATTTGTTTCCACCGGGGTGCTCTTCATCACAGGCGGGTCTATGTCCTCGTCTGGAGGGTGTTTACGTGGTAGCTTAACTGCGGTATCCTCTCCAAGAAGGACGGGGTCCTCTCCTGGCAACTGTGTATCCGTAAATCCTCGGGACTGTTTTTACAATGCAGCGCACATTGGCCACTGTACCTTCCAGTCACATTTTGCGAGCACACAGGAGGCAAAGCTTTAAAAGTTAAACCCGTCCCGTGAGCGCAACACTTTGTGGATAAATCCACCAAAAACGCACGAGAGCGACGTCTACGACTTCAAAGGCTGGCTTACAGGTTGCCGCCGGAGAGTTATGAGGCATGCTGACGGATCAAATGCGGCGCCGAAAAGTTGGGCAATGTTTCTTACAGCCGAGGAGTTGCGAAAAAATAATCCTCGAAGAAGCTGCTCCGTTCAGCACACAGCTCTGTGTAATTATTAACCGAAGCAAACGGGCCGTTGCCTTACTTTGCTTGTAGCCTGGTAATTAAAACTGGGTCCGAAGCGGCTTCAGTGACACGGCCATCAACTTCTTTTAAATCTACCCGTCAGGGGGGCGACGCGCGCGCGCGCACGCATACACACACACACACACACACACGCAGGCTTTCCCTGAGTTCAGTGCCTCCGCTGCACTGTGAGAAATTAGACCCGATCCTCCTGAGAAGAATGAAGGAAATTGACTCGTTTATCAAAACTATCACTGAAAGCGGAGGGGGAAAATCTGCAAAAAGTTAATTAAAAAAAGTTGCCCAGCCTCCTTGTAGTGTTTGTTTGAAGGGGATAAAGCATAGAGACAGTGTACTATTATAACACCGTTCTAGAACTTTACCTCCCGGACTCTCTGTCTCTCCCCTGGGATCTCATTGAAAGTGTCTACCTGCTCCCTCTCCTGCTACTTTCACGTGCTAACGGGGACGGGAGTTTTATCAACACTTCACCCCTAATCCTGTAAACAGATTGTGTTTCAAGTGTTTTACGTTGTTATTTGTATAAGCCATTAGTGGAATTGCAGCGTTAGTATTACATTTTTCTAACGTCACTGAAAATCTATTTTGCGGTAAGAATCAAACGCAAACTAATTTTCTTGCATGTGTAAGAACGTAAACATACAAACAAACAAACAAAAATCGTTAATTTTCTTTTAACGTTATCGTAGATGGAGTTAACGAGGAGCACCTGAATGCAGCATTAGTAAGCAGAAGGCGGATCCGCCGAAAAGCAGCAGTTTCACCAAAAACAAGTAAGTGGCTCCCTCTGGTGTCTACAACAAGCAACACCCCTTTATTATTAATAATGCAGTACACACTAAACATCCAACCATAAACTGTAATCACGTTTATTTAAAATTCTAGTTACATATTTTAAAAAGTACATCAATAGTGAAAATAAAAAGGTAGGGAAAACACCATCACTACAATAAAGCAAGCAATCAGTAGACAAAGTGTTTCTCCCTCATAAAATAATTTGAGTCCTTTTTAAGCACTCCAATACCAATTTATGGTTTACAAGACTTATTTTTCTCTTTCAGTTCTTTGAAAATAACATTACAATCTGGTAAAACTATTTCACAAAATCATGTACGTAAATATGCATGCTTTATACAGTTACATAAAGCATACTTGTTTTAAAAATGTAATTTAAAATTTTACAGAAATAAAAGCATCAGTGTTAATTACAATGGATGTGTAAAATAAGAGGAGAAAACATTACGGTACAACTACGTACAATGTACAACATATATGTACTTCTGCAAAAGACTTTGTAATAAGATTTAAAAGAGAACAAAGCAACAAGCATTCACACAATAAATCATCTTTCCAATTCGAGACTCAAGTATGGTAATAGTAAGAGCTTAAGCTCACATCCTGGATTGACTCAAGGCTCCCTGTCACATGCCAATCAAACCAACAAGCTGAGATCTATAATGAAAAATATGAGACACTGTCATCACGGATCTGTTGATTTTAGCAAGAATTAAAGCCTTTACTCTGGAATTTGACCCTAAATAGCCTTACCTAAAGAGTTGGTGTATTTCCTGTGCAGCTGCTGTTATAATTTCAGACTGGAATCACTGGAAGTATCACCAACTGTAACGGGTACAATATCCCTCTCATCATCTGTGGTAACCTTAATGTAGGGACACAGAGAAGGCAAATAATCTAGGCTTTCTGCTAAACTATATATAAGCCCACTAAATATACACACACACACATATATATGTATTCAAATTATATAACAATATCAATAATTTTCTGTAACATCCTGAAACATAATCGGATTTTCACATTTTCTACATGTTGTTCTAAACGTGAAAAAGAACCAACTTCAAAACAGTATGCAAAATATTTGCTACGTTTTTTAACTATGCGGAAAGATCCATTATTAATGATCTGTGTGTGGAAAAAGCTTCAGTGTCAGGTTTGATCACCTAGAGCAACAGTTGCTCACATTGCAGTAATCCAGAATGTGCAACATCAGACACTGATGATCTACTGGGATTTCCACATCTCTGAATGCATACCTCCTTGAACCTTTATGCAGATGTACTACAACATTAGAGGATGACGCAGAGTGCCACTCAATTGCTGCTGCCACACTCAGATGGTCAGAATCTCGCATGTACAGCATGAAAGCATGGATCTATCCCGTCTTTTTATAAATGGTTCATGCTGATGGTGATGTAATGGTGTGGGGGATAGTTTTTGGTACCAACTGAGCACTGTTTAAACTCCACAGCCTGTCTGAGTGTTGATGCTAACCTCGTCCATTCCTTTATCACCAATGTGTCCCCATCTTCTGATGGCTGCTTCCAGCACCATGCCACAAACCTCAAACTGGTTTCTTAAGCACAACAGTGAGTTCACTATTATTTTACTCAACTGGTCTTCACAATATCCAGATCTCAACCTAATAGAGTACCTTCAGGATGCTCTATTAGGTTATTCCCATCGTGTGCAGCTGACAAAACGTCAGCAACTGTGTGCTGCTATCATGTGAGTCTGAACCAAAATCTCTGAGGAATGTGTCTCATGTTCCTCAGTGAAAAAAGATCAACTATCATTTCTAACCTTTCTTGCAATTGCAGCCTATCAAGAACCAAAACCACTGTGCTGCTCTGATCCACCCTCCCGCCTTCCCTTGAAAACTTTCCTACAAGTTTGGGTTACTTTACTGTCTAGCACAGTAAAGTAGAAAACATCTTAGATCAAGAAGGTGATGCATCAAAAAATACCTCAATGTCAAATATTACAAAAAAACATAAAACAGATGCACTTTAGCTTCAGGAACTCTTCAATGCGCAGCCTTACCTCAATGATAGCATCCTCAGGCATTTCCTCTGGTACAGACTCCACACACTGCTCTTTGTATGGAATTAGAGGAGCAATACTCGATGCAGACACTATGGTGGGTCCAGCAGAGAAAGGGATAGACCTGATGACACCGTTGCTGTCACACAGTGGGCTGTCACAGGTGTTGGATGAAGACTCTAGCTCAGGGACCACCTCATCTTGGGGCTCAACTTTAACCAGGCAGGTATTGGGTGGAGTCTGCATGACCTCATCTGCGATCTTAAAAACTGCCTCCAAGTTGATTTCACAGTTTTTCACCTCCTGCTTCTCATTTTTCTGCAGGCATTGGTTATTGTCTTGGAAACACAACATACCGACAGGATATCCTGCCTAAAAAGGTGATATAAAAGCATATGTTAAAGATGGCCCAAATACTCATCTTCCTATACTACTCACTGACTTGTTACGTCACATGACAGTGGTCCTACCTGATAATAACTCTGAGGCGAGAATAAGCCTGTCTGAAGGCCACCACCTGCCATATGAGGGGCCACAAGGTTGGGATGGTAGCAATGACCAACTTCAGGAAGGACAAAAGATAGCATGTTAAGTGAAGTGGTACACTGGCTATTACTAAATAATATTTAATGCTTACGTGGGGAATAGTAGCCAGGCTGGTACTGAGCATTACAAGGACTATAACTGGTGAAATTTGGACTTCCATGGTTTGCGTGGGCCAGGAAATTCTGCTGAATGTGCACAGCATTGGAGCTTGAGTTTACTCCAGTGTAAGGGCGGTTTAAGGGTACTGGTAGCTCTTTGCCTGAGGAAAACAAAGCAGAAGGAAGAGCCGCAGTCCTCATCAGGAATCGTGGTGGGATGGGGGTCCCAGTGTAGGCTTGGGTTTTACTTGGATAGTAAGGAGGAGTGGCCTTTTGATTTGTGGGGCTCAGCAGAAAAGAGCCTCCCGAAGAAACTGGAAGACACAAAGCACAACAACGACCTGTTAGACAGTACGAGAGGGCTTAAGGTTTGGTACAGGAGGGCACAGACTTATTGTCCTTAATAAGTTCAATATGGTGTTCGGAAATATGACAGAAAACCCTATCAGCAGGTAATATTTCTTGAAAACATCTGAGTATTTTCTCTGTGACATGTAAGATTGTCAAATGAAAGTTTAGTAATTCCTCTGGTCAACAGAAAAATATATTTAGAATACTCTTAAATGAGGTCAATTCTCCAGCAACACTTATAGTACAGCTTTATTACTTATGTCAAGGTCATCCCTCATGAAGGCCACAGGCCCAAACATGTCGATCAAGTAATAAAGCTGTGCTTCAACCTCTTTAGACCCTTGTTCTAAAGAGGAAGTAGGCGAAGTTGCGGCAGAAAGCTTTGTTCCGTTTTAAAGAATATTCTTCAGTTACAAAGTTTATGTACATAAAATGGGACAGTGTTGTATTTTTTAAGGAGCTGATGACCCTTTTTACACAGAACTGCTGTGCACTTTTGCAGAAACTACTCTTGTGGCTGAGGAACGGTTAGTGTGAACTTGAGCACCTCAGGGAAACCATATATTTCCACTATTATCCCTTAATAGCACTTGCCTCTTCTCATAGATGTTCCTCTGTCGTCCCCATCCGGATACAGGCGCTGATATCCACTCGGGGACCGGCACTTTATGTTCAGACCGGCTTGCAGCTTGGCCTTATTGTCCACGGTGAGCCTCCTCAGCCTCGCAACGAGTTCAGGCTGGTCTCGCTTGAAGTTGGGGTTGTAAAAGCTTTGATACTCCTTGCCGTCCAGATCCTGTTGAGGGTCGGCCTTCTTGAACCCGTACAAGTTGAGCTGACGGACAAAGCTGGAGAAGTTGGTGGTTTTGAAGGAGTCGGCGCTGCCCGCGGTGATGGCACTTGGAGACAGGATCTGCTTCTCGAACAGCTGCTGGTCAATGACGATTACCTCACCCTGGTGGTCCCAGCAGATGGCGTTGTAGGCCGGGTTGTTCACCAGACGCCACAGCTTTGCAGGAAAATTGCTGGGGTTGATCGAGTCCGGGAGTGAATTTAAACCGACTTCCATGCCTCTGCCTGTGCAACTGAGACAGGTATAACAATATTAAACAGCCCTGGTCAAAGCAGCTAACCTGCTTTACATGTTTATAACGTTACTATTTAACTTTAGTTTATGTCTTACATACACTCAAGTTATAACAAGTTAACAAAGTTATTTAACCACCATTCATTATATTAAACACATAATTACCCCTGTTAATGAAAACGGATTAAACTTTTTTAAAAATTATAAATAAAATGCTGTAAAAAGTAAAATGTTATCTTTCACTGTTTCTGTTACTCTGCTAGCATTAGCTAACATTAGCATTGGCTGTGTTATCTTGTCAAACAGCCTCTCCTAAGTAAAGAACTTTTTAGTTAAGAGCTGTTAAAGTTTTATCCATCTCCATATTGTCTCATATATTTTAAGTAAGGTTAAATCTAAAATAAACACTGTAATAACTGCACCTGTATCACCAAGTCGCACTGGGAACCGTTGGAAGTTCACTGCCGTTGGTGGAGGTGCTGGAGTTCAATGTGACATCCCTCCGTTACTTTAAACAACGCTTAATTTTGGGGGACTACAAAGCCCAAGATCCTTTCACATTTCAACACCGAAACTTGGCCCTAAACATCACACAGAGAGCCAAAAACAGTTTACAGCCTCTGGTTTACATGCTTTTGTTGTCACAGGCCCACAAATGCCTTTAGGTAATATATGTTACTTTAAATAGCTCCAGTGAATGCATCGCAGGTTCTCACACAGCCTGCTGTTTATAGCTTACATTTCACATCATCTGAGTTTATTTCTGAGTTTATTTAGTTGCAGCTTCATACAAGACGCAAGATGATGAGCCTCTCCAAAGTTGGATGTGGCACGGCAACAGTGCAGTGACAAACGCAGGTTAATTATCCATGATAAACAAATAAGAAACAAAATGTGAGAAAACGATGTTAACTGTTGAAAGAGATTTGACTGGTAACATAATCAGTGTTTAGGTCAATGGAATTAATAGATGTCACCAAGCACATGTGGTGTGAAACTGTACCAAATGAAAACACGCTGAGCTGTGTCGCCACCTAGTGATAAGGAAGTAGTTTATTATTGTTGTTGTTGTTGTTGTGATTATTATTATTATTATTTGTATTTAGATGTAGACAGCATTATCTATCTACATTTTGTGAAAACAAAAAATCTCACTGCCAATCCAGTAAAATACATCCAATTTGTATCCTTTCATTGTCAAAATCCGATGTGTTGCTAATTCTATGTAATATTAACAACCTGTTAAAAACATTACATGAGACTGGTGTGTAGCACCACTTGAGGAGAACGTGATGCCTTTGTTCAGGTATGCAAATTCTGAAGTCAGTGACACAATAACTCCAATCTCCACATTTCGACCTTTCTTCGAATTAGGTTTTTCGACTTTAATCTAAAAAATTCGACTTTATTGTCAAAATGATTAATAATATTTTTGTTTCTTAAGGTGGCCCTAATACTATGTCATAAATATCGCTTTAGTTTATTATCAAACCTGGCAGCTCTGCACTCACCTTCAAACTGAGGACGTGGTGAGAGCCCTCAGGAGGACCAAGGAGAGGAGCTCACCCGGCCCTGACAACATCAGCAGTCAAGTTCTGAGGCACTGTGCAGGGCAACTAGGAAGTGTGTTCCGGACTCTATTTCAACACTCAATTGACAGTCACACCGTCCCCCAGCTGTGGAAACACTCCACAGTCATCCCCATCCCCAAAAGAAACAACCCAAAGTCTCTCAATGATCTTCATCCTGTGGCCCTTACCTCTCTGGTGATGAAGGCCATGGAGAAGATCATAAAACAGCACATTGTAAGAGCAACTGACCCCCTGATGGACCCACTTCAGTTTGCTTACCGTGCACGCATAGGCGTTGATGACGCAAAAATCTTCATCTTGGACTCCATCCACAAACATCTGGAGATCCCTCACTCCTCCGCCAGACTTCTCTTTGCTGATTTTTCATCAGCGTTCAACACTCTGCAGTCTCATATCCTGGCCATTAAACTTTCTTCCCGATTTCACCTGATCAGCTAATCCTGTGGATATTGGACTCTGGTCTCTGTTCCACCTCCACTGGCTCCCCCCCGGGCTGTGTGCTCTCCCCCCTGTTCTTCATCCTCTAGACTGATGACTGCAGATCCACACAGCCCAACTGTCACCAGGTGAAATATGCTGACGACACAGTTCTCCTGTCACTGCTGTCAGGCCCCTCACAACACCACGGACCCGCTCTTCAGAAGTTTGTAGAGTGGTGTGACAGCTCCAAACTTGAGCTGAACGTGAGCAAAACCAAAGAGATGGTGGTGACCTTCTCCAGTAGGCAGAGGGATCTGGCTGCTTCAGTCACCACCACCATCCATGGGAAGCCAGTGGAGGTAGTTGAGGAGTACAAATACTTGGGAACCATCTTTGACAACCTCCTGAAATTCTCTGCTAACACAGAGGAAATTCTCAGGAGGTGCCACCAAGGGCTAATGGCCTCGTTGGCTGAAAACCTGTGCAAGAGTTCTGACAGGCAGGCCAATGGTTTTTGAGCACACTGGTGCAGTGTGCTGCAGTCTGTTCCTGTTCTGAAGGCTGAGGGAGTGGAACCAGCAGGTAATGGAGAAGGTCATGATGCTTTCCAGGAAGACATAGTAAAAAGGCATAGTAAAAATTAATTAACTTATTAATGACCCCTCTCACATTCTTCATTTCAATGGCTCCCCTCTGGGCGGCGCCTCCGCTGCACTTCCTGCAGGACTGAGAAGAGGAGAGCCACCTTTGTCCCCAAAGCCACTCTGCTTTTTAACTCCAGTCGATAAGACCATTTCCCACACCCATAAACATAAATTACTCTACACTCTTTTTTATGCTGCCGACACTTTATTCACTTTTAGTCACTTACAGTTATTTATTCACTTATTTAGTCACTTTAATTTTAAAACTGTGTATATACTGTATATTTTAAGTATTTTTTTTTTTTTTTATCTCATTCTTATTGCCTGTTTATGCCTTGTCCTTATTTTTAACGTCATGCTGCTCTGTTGTATCTTAATTGGCCCTTGGGGATAAATAAAGTCTCTCTGATTCTGACTGTGTGCACGGACTTTTATTCAGGCGGACTACAGGGACGCCTCTGGGTTGCTAGGGCCTTATACAGTGACGCAATCTCTAGGCGACTAGAAAATCATCATAATATTAGTCGGCGTGATTGTTTAGTGTTTTTTCAATTATTTCGTCCGAACATAATGGCACTAGAAACAGTCCCCAAAGACCTGCGCCACCTGAGAGCCTGTCTGCTTTGTTCGTTAGTGAAGGTAAATCTTTATCTGAGAGAAAAACACTGTGAGGCTAGCTCCTGTGCTAACGTGGTGCTCTGCGCAGTGTTTTCCTCCTGTTTGGCCTAACAGGAATTAAAACTTCGAAATGACGCTTGGTTGCTTTTTAGTAAAGTAACCAAAGTATTCACTGGGGCTTTTTTGTTTACAAAAAGACATCTGTGCTAGTTTGTTTGGTTTCTAGTCCCACGATAACGACTTGGGGCCGTACTAGAAAAATGTACAGAATGGCAGAGCCTGGGCAGAAGGTGATATTATTGTGACAAAACGCAGAATAAAGTTATTGGGGTTTTTTTTTTTCTTAAGGTGGACAATAAGAAAAGAAACAAGGTGGACAATATTGTCCACTGAAGCGAAACTAAATATTTTGAGATTAACTTTAAAGTTAAAAATCCACGAAAAATGGAACTAGAAACATTTATTGCTCCTCAATGCTTCCTCAGTGATTTATTTTGTAAGGTCGGGCGTGCAGGCAATCTGACTTTATTTTTGAGAAATTAAAGGTTTTTATTTTGGAGAGATTTCATTTACAGTATAGCATGTTTACAGTAGTTTAAATGCGGGCTTCTTTTTGTTTTTTTTGTGGGTTTTTTTTTTTTGGCAAATACCAGAAATGACACTTTGGCACAACACCAACACACAATCCCATCTCACTTTCTTCTTCTTCTTCTTCTTGTTATAGTAGTAGTAGTAGTAGTAGTATTAATACTATTATTATTTAACCATGCACAGCCGTTATCAGTGGATGTGCCAAGGTTTGTTGGCATCATTATCTATGGTGGGTTCCAATATATGTATGACCCTCATTAGAAATAATAGTCTTGCTACACTGAAGTGCAGCATTTTTAAAGCAGTTAATATTTCTCAAGTAATATCTCACTTCTCATTTTTGATCCTTTCTTCTGGCTCTTTTTATTGGACTCATGCAATCTGATACCTCACTTTTCTCTTGTTCTCTTCCAATTTAGACCATTGACCAGTTTGAATATGATGGCTGTGACAACTGTGAGTCATACCTCCAGATGAAGGGGAACCGAGAGATGGTGTATGAATGCACAAGTTCCTCGTTTGATGGGTAAGTGTTGACAAAGCTTACCCATCAAAGCTATGTGTTTCTTTGTCTGTTCTTCCCTATGGTTTACTGACACTGATTAAATGTTTATAGTGTGATCGCCATGATGAGTCCTGAAGATAGCTGGGTGGCTAAATGGCAGAGAATAGGTAAGGATCTGCTGAAGCACACAGTCATGGTTTAAAACAAAAAAAGAAGAAGAAAGTACATTCAGTTCTCAGGTTTTATGTATCAGGACATGATAAGAAATGTTAAATTGTTCATTATTTATTTAAGACAAAAAGGAGACACTGTTTCTGGAAAAACAAAGTACATCTTACACTGCTTTTATAATAATTGAGAAGGAAAATGGCACTTGATCATCAGCCAGTCTGAGCACCTCTATAAAAGCAGATGATTTAGCAGGTGTTTGTTAACATAGTGCCAGGGTGAAAAACAATCAGCGGTGATCTCATGAAAGCAACTGTTAGTGCCCATCAATTTGGGAAGGATTATAAACCAAACCATTGGAATGTCATCATTCTATAGTGAGATCGATTACTCACAAGTGAAAAACATTTAAGATAGATATAAATTTTTCCAGTGGTGGACATCACAGCAAAGTCACCACAAGGTTAGACCATACACTGCTCAGAAAAAATGAACAACTAAGGCTTGTTTGAAAGGGTTGTCAGGAGAAAGCCTCTTTTCTCTAAAAAAGAACATGGCAGCATGGCTTTGGTTTTCAAAGTTGCATCTGAACAATCCACAAGACTTCTGGAACAATCCTATCAAAAGAGGCCAAAGTGGAGATGTTAAGCCAGTTGGTTGGAGAGAACCAACTGTGAAGCACGGTGGTGGAGGGATGATGGTTTGGGCTTGTTTCGTAGTCATTGAGTTGACTATGAACTACTTGGTATACCAGGGTATTCAAATGTGAGGAGATGTCCCCAAAGCTAAATGTACACTAAAATTGGATCATGCAACAGGGCTATAACCCTGTTGCATAACCCACAGCAACAAATCTACAACATAATGGCTGAAAATGAAAGGAATCAAGGTGCTGCAATGGCCCAGTCAAAGTCCATGCTTCAATCTGACTAAAATGCCGTGGCGGGACCTGAAGAGACTGTGTGTAAAAGAATGCCTGCAAGCCTCAATGAACTGAAGCAACAGCAACAACAACAACAACAACAAAAAGAATGAGCCAAAACTCTTCCACAAGGATGAGAGAGACTGATAGTCAAATGGAAAACTGTTACTTTAAGTTATTGGTGCTAAAGGTGGTTCAGCAAGCTTACTGAATCATCCAGAAAATCCAGAAATTAGTTTTTCCACAGTGCTTACAGATTTTGGCTTTGGATTAGTTTTTGTTAAATAATGACACAGTGTTAATATGTTATGTTGTTGTTCATCTGAAGTTATTTACCTAATTTTAAAACCAGGACTATAGCATTTTTTACATGCTTTTTAATAAATCTTGTAAAACCTGCTAGTTATTAATGATAGCCACATAGTTCAGATTATGATCCATTTGTGTAATTATTTTTTTCCTGCTCTGTCTTTCAGGCAACTTCAAGCCAGGTGTATATGCCGTTTCAGTGACTGGCAGACTACCTCCAGGTACATTCAAACACATCAGGGCACACACATTGGTTGGAATTGTCTTCTCACTTCATATGTTTCGGTTGCTCATTATTCTCTTCTCTGAAGGCGTAGTGAGAGAGCTGAAAAGCAGAGGGGTGATCTACAAATCCAGAGACACGGCAGTGAAGACGTAAATCCTGCTGATTGTCCCCAGAGCTGGATCATACTGTTTCACCATGTCTGTGATGTCTTGTGGAAATGTTGAGTTTTTGGAGGTTTTTAAATTTGGGGGGGAAAAAAACAAAGATTGCTGACACATAAGAAAAGGTAGATATGTCTTATTTGTTTGAATAGTTTACGTGAAATAAAAACCTGTTTTATAAAAAAAGTGAGTGAGTGTCTTAAAATAAATGAATACATTGGATTTATATGCACCTGTAATCTGTGAATTAACTAAGCTTTCAGTGTCCCCGAGCGAGTGAACATGATCAGTTAATTTTTAATGGGACTAATCTGTCTACTGTGCAGAAGGGCACACAATGTGGTTTCTGACTGATGACCTTGAGCTGCAGTCTAAAATGATGATGGTGGTGAGGTCTCTAAGAGGACTGTGGTTAGACTCAGAGTTCATTCAACCTTTCTGGAACAGATTGCTGATATATGTTGACCAGAGAATACAAATAAACGCGTCCACATTCATGACTAACCTGGATATTTATTTGTTTTTAAAGGTACCTAAATTAGGTGCACCTTAGATTTTAGGTTTTAGACCATTTTTGACTTTTCAATTTATTTTATTTTTTGAAGGTTTTCTTCCTATTTAATCTTTATGTTTTCAACATATAATGTCAGTCTTTCCACTCCTACAAGCCATTATGTTTATTTTAAAGTTCTTTAGCAAATAATAACTAGAAAATGCATTTTCTAATGAAACTGCAGTGTGGATGCTGATAGCTGAATGTTTTGAGCGGAAATGAAGCAACTGCTGAATGTTAAGTTAAAAATGTTTCACTTGAAAACAAAAGTGTAGAACTGTTGAAAGCTGATTTTCAGACAGAGGAAGAAGTTGAAAAGTAGCTGACCATGTTTAAAATGTACAGTAGAAAAAGTTGAGTATTGACAAAAGAAAATTCAGAGTCACAAAACATCTGAAGAAATATTTGAAACCTCATATTATTTAAGTCCCCGAATGACTGAAATGTGGGAAAATCCACTACAGACAATTAAATACTGTAACTTTTAATCATCCGTTCAGAAAAGATCTTTTCTGACTCCACTGCCCACATTCTCCCATTGAAAGACACGGTAAATTTTTGTTGAATGAAGCTGAATAATTTAAAAAATATAAAAGTTAAAAATGAGGAAAATACAAGCAGTCATGTCCAAAAGAAGAGGAATCTAATAGTGGTTGACTGGTTTTTCTAAGTTGAACGGTGTTGAAGGAGATATATGCCAAAAAATGTACGGAATATGAAAAGTAGAAGAACAATACTTGTGTGCTTAATCAGCATCCACACTAATAAAGCCAAATACCATCACCAAGCATTATTTCATTATTTCCGTTAAAAAAAAATAAATCTTGTGACAGGTTAGTATCATGCATCTAATAACATGCTTTACTTTTAATAGTCAGCAGGGGGTGACTACACTGGTTGCAAAAAGACCCTTGGCTCCTTTTTCTCTACAATCTCAGCAAACACAGACAGCTTTATGGTTTTAATCTCTAGTTTCACATCATATTGAATAAAACTTTCTTTTACAAATGATGAATTCTTAGAGTCAGAAAGGAGGATTATTCAGGGTCATTAGCCAATAAGTTATATAATCGATTTCTCTCTCTGTTTCTTCCGTCACCATTTGTCACATATGGTCACAAAACACTAAGATGGCAAAGGCGGTTCATTCTGATTGTTGTTCATTCTGAGCAACAGTTTCACAGAGTTCATCATGTTTTTTTTAGTTGGCTAGACCCTTTAAAAAAATCCTCCCTGTACTTCTTTAGCTGCACCACTAGATGGTGCTTTTTACTCAGTGCCTGAATTCCCTGCAGCCGCCGACACTGCCGACAGGTGGAGAACTCTCAGCCACAGTGTGAACGTGTAAATTTAGCCAACCTTTCACCTGAAGGTGCTGCGTGCGATAGTCTCCAGTTAAATTGAAGCCTTTTCAGATCCAGTATCTGCTGTGGTTACTGTTTCACTTACAGCACAATAGTGTGAAGAGAATAACATCTTTATTGTCATCCTGTGCTGTTCCATATATCAGGTGTAGTTCAGGTGGAGTACTACACTACTGGATTATATTATCACTTAAGAAAACACCTCCACTTAACACCATGTGTGTCCTCTGACTTAACTGCAGCCTGGAGGACATTAAGTCCTTGCACATGATCTCGGTCCGCTTCTCCTGTTGTCTTCATTTGTGATGCTCACAAAGTCTTCACTACACCGACACCTGCTCCTGACATTTTGTTGCAAAGGCACAGTTAGTGAAGCCAGTCTGTCAGAACTCACTGAGAACTCTTAGCCATATTGAAGACCAACAAGCGGACCCGTAACGCTGGCAGGAAACTGCATAAAAAAGATGCGATGCGATATGAAAGCTGTGCCGGTTTCATGTTTCACAAAGCATTTCTCATTTTACTTTTGCGGGTAACCTGAAGAGACGTGCGATGACGTTAATCAAATGTCATGACCTACAATGAACGAAGAACTACTTATTTTCATTGTTCTTATCTCCATAAACTGGAGAACATAGGTTAATCCACCAGAGGATAACTTTTTCTCCATCTATTCATAATGATGACATAATCTCTCTAGAAGAAAATATGCAGATCAGTGCTGAAGATCACTGCTGGTTGAAATCCTGTATTTCACAATTGCTGAACCACACTGAGACACATCATTTTCTCCAAACTCCAAACACAAAATCAGTTTTTTTTTTAAATGAAAACACAGTGTTCTGGACATATGACTTCTTCTTTCCGACCTCCTGTGGCTGTCTTGTGTGTGTGTGTGTGTGTGTGTGTGTGTGTGTGTGTGTGTGTGTGTTCTCTGACTTCCTTGCACCATCCACAGGCATGCAGGAGAAGTTAATCGGTGTTTCTCGATTGGCTGTGTGTGTGAATGGTTGCCTGTCTCTCTGTGATAGACTGGTGATCTGGTCTTTCACCACATTTCACCCAGTGACAGCTGGGATAGGCCTCAGCCCTACCATAAGAAGGTAAAATGGATGGATGATGTGCTCTGTATACTAAGGGGAGTATAACATCATAGTCAAGTACTGATCTAACATAGACACACAGTAAATTCTAGCTAATTCTAGCTAATTTTAGCAATGGTTAACTCTGTATTCAATTTGCATTCATGTATTTAATTCCCCCAGCTGCCACATTCGGGTCAGAGGTCAGGGTCAGCAACCAACCCTGTAGCACCTGTGCAGTTTCGTTCATGGCAGGCGACCTGCTGACTCTCTGCTTTGTGTAACATCTGGTATTTTGCAGTAAAGGAGACACAAATTATTATGTAAGTTTAAATATTGCACAACTTCATGCATTTTACAGAATAAATAAATATTGCAATGTAAGTAAATGTAATAAGGGCCGAAATTCTGGGTATTTTAAAGGAAAGGATACACAAATTATACTGTAAGTAATTTTAAGTACTACATCATTTTAAATACTGTGTAATTCCTTGGTTATCTTGTGGAAAAGCAAACAATATTTCCCCAGCTTACATACATCAGGGCACAGGCCATATTGTGGAGTTGCCTAACTTCCAGTTATTTTAAAGGAAATGAGACAATCCTTTCCTGTACACTCCCTTTGAAATTTGTGTTTGAACAGTGATTGTTACACGGAAAAAATAGACTTGGCTTCATCATTACGATCACGTGGGTCTGCGAATTTTGATGGTCCTTAGTTCTTCTTGTAAGTGGTTAAGAGAGGACAGTCCTAATCTATCTATCTATCTATCTATCTATCTATCTATCTATCTATCTATCTATCTATTGATATGCAAATTTGTAAAAAAAATAATAATTTCACTAATTATTCCCTGTAAAACCTGGCTTGTTACTTCCTTACTCTAGTATGCTTTAAGTATTTGTAGATAAATATTATTTCAAACAAAATACACTGAAATTGAATGTAATTACAGAGGGATTACACTCTTTGTCACAGGTTATATTATAAAGTGCAACAATAAAACTTCAAAGACACAAATGAGAAAATACTCATTTTGTAAGTCTCATCTCATCTTCAAACACAATTACAGCCACTTTGCTGACATTCCTCCCTCTTCACCTACAAAACCATACAAATTAAATATCACTGTTATTCAAATGCACAGCAGGTTAGACTTCTCTTTCCATCACAAGTAGAACAGAGACTTTTTGAAGAGACACTTTACCTCCAGTGGTTGGAGGCAGTTGATAACCAAATGAGAAATAAACCACAAGTGTCAGTTTGCACTGTTCCATGTGGGCCCTGAGATCAGTCAGTGCATGTGCACCATCATTTAGTTGTTCACCTTGACACCCC